TCATAATTCCTTTTTTGTTAATCTGCTGCTGAGACGTTAAACAATAACAACAATCAAATTTACAAATGAAGATCTTATAAAGATAGATGTGCATTGGAAGGAGTGCACGCTGTGCTCAGGCATTCACTAGGGCGTTCCGTCAAATCATCGAGTCATGGATTTAACGATACCTAGGGCAGTATTGCTCGATTGGCACCGCCAAGGTCGTTAAAAGGTTGACAACTCCGTAGATTACCAATAGCCATTTCATTCTTCTAGCGTTCGTTCAACAAAGCAGTGACATTGTAATGTTTTATCTATAAAAGAGAAGCCATCATTAGTAGGCATCACAAAAGCGGGTAATGTTCTCTTTAGCAATTGAAAAGAAACTCATGAACCTCAGATGAAAAGAAGCGGATTAAAAAGGGGAGGCGGAATTTCCATTATTAGTAAAGTTGTTCTTTTTCGCTTTCCAAGGCAAGCCGTATATAAGTTAATGCCCTATACTAGACAACCTTAGGCGAGATCCCCACATAGAACTCCCACTTTGCCGGAACAGCACAGATAATGAGGCTATTTAAGACATGATACCTGCAATCATTTTGCAGTGTTGATACGGGATTTTAACTTCACAGGCGCTGGATAGTCTCGTTGGTCTTCCATAATAGACACTAGTACGGCTTCAAAAAGATGTGAAGATTTACCCGCTGAGGTCAAGTTTCTTAGGGCTCCACCACACTGTCATCTAGTATATACATATAAATGAATAAATAAATATATAGTTACTTACCTGCTTATTTAGTTATTTATTTATTTTTATATTTATATATTCATATTTGTACTTTTAGTTAAATGATAGATGAAGGCATTCCAAATCTAACACATCTATTATTGATCGCTCCAGAATGTGCCAATATAAATGGAACCGCTTACCCTGCTTCTATCAAAAAAATCCTCGTACTGGTGCCATTTTAGACAAGCTATCCCTTCGCGCCTCTTATATTTATTCGCAGGCGATTTTCGTATGCTGTACACCACATTGTCCGCAATCACACATCTGCAGCAAAAACAAATAATCGACGGCTATTTTGTTTTCGGTGGATTTTAAACGAAGTTTGCAGTTCTTGGAAGTTGCTGTTGTGCTGCGATTAGGTAGAATTCTGGAGTGCTAGCGCTGTTTGTATATCTCATTTCAAAACAGTAGTATCAGGAACTTTGATAAAGCTTTTTGCCTGTCTGGTAGAAGTTCTTGCTGAATTTTAAGCACCTCGCATTACAGCTTTTCAGCTGGCGGTCGATGGAGGTCCCTCATTGTTTAGGTTCAATTACTGAAGTACTCTTTTCTCAATATTCTAAACCGAGTGCGGTTTATGACGCAATAACGTAAAAACCGCAAGTGGCACTTCATTTCTAGAATCGTCATGACTGGTGCTGAAGGAGCTAGTACTTCTGAGCCTGTAAATTTCGTGAATCCGCCGGCGAGTGAGAGCTCTCAAATTGGAGGTAATTTGCTATATGATTTAAACCTCAAGTTTTCTGTTACATATCTTCTGCATTCAATTCAGTTGCTTCTTACGCATGAAAATCTTTACAAAGCACACCTATTCTTTTCTTCTGTTTGAGCATGCGTATACTCATGCTCTGCGTTACTATAGGGGATCTCTTATATCATGCATGTGTTATTGAAAAGAGTAAACTAGTGAAATATTGCAGATCTTTCATTGAAAAGTCCAGAAGATGCTCAAAGGGAAAATGAACTTACTGAGGCGCAGTTAAGTCAAATTGAAGAGGAGGTTGGAATACTTTATTGTTACCATATTTCTGCCTAGCTTGTTTTCAGCCCACTTAGTCTTATCAAAATCTTAAATTCGACGAAGTTGGGCCATTTCACCTAGTTTCAGCAAAAACAAACACCCTTAGTGGGAGACCGGGTACCATTCGAAGTTGTTGTCATGGAATACGATCCTGTGGAGAGCGC